TGGGGCCCGATCCTCTAAGCGTTTTTTACTACTGGGAGAATTTGACGAAAGTCTCCACCTAAAATTATTATTTTATTTCCAAAATGTTTATTATTACTAGATTAATTTCTTAAAGTCTTATTAATGATTTCTAATGCTTTTTTTGGTATCATAGAAGCTTCATCCCAAATAATTACTTTTAAATTAAGTAATTTTTGTTTATCTGGCTCAAACTGGAAGAATGCACTTTCTATAGTGCTCAAGTCTAAAGGAAGTCTGAAAGTTCTGTAAGTGTTCATTCCCTTTGGAAGCAGAATAGAAGCAATACTTGTCCAAGCCATCGCAAGAATTTTTTTTCAATTGATATGAAATAATAAATTAATCTTTAGTACACAAATGTTTCTCCAAATCCACCAGGACCATCGATGAAAAAAAATTTTTTTTTTCAATTTTATTATTTCTTGAAAAATTCGACGTTGATTTTGACTGAGTTGTAAAAACATTTCATGGAATTTATGTTTACCAAATATTCTTTCATCATTGTCAGTATCAATATTTTTTTTTATCGTTTCTGTTGGTTCTGGTAAACTGAAATCTTTACAAGACATATTTGAAGAATTAAAAATTTCGTTTAAATGTAAAAGAGCTTTATTTTGATCATCTTTACAAACTTCAATGAAAAATTTTTTGTATTTGTATTATTTCTTGAAAAATTCGACGTTGATTTTGACTGAGTTGTGAAAACATTTCATGGAATTTATGTTTACCAAATATTCTTTCATCATTGTCAGTGTCAATATTTTTTTTTATCGTTTCTGTTGGTTCTGGTAAACTGAAATCTTTACAAGACATATTTTCAGAATTCAAAATTTCGTTTAAATGTAAAAGAGCTTTATTTTGATCATATTTACAATCTTCAATAAAAATTTTTTTGTATTTGTTCCAAATAATATTACCAAAAAAAATTTCAGACATAATAAACCATTCGAAAAATTTTCGTAGTTGAAAAGGCGGCATAACGTTACATGCTTCTTCAAAAATAATATCGTTTTAAAAATCGTGTTCTACTAATCCAATAAAAATAGCTGTTATTAGTCAGGGAGAATAAAAAGTGATTGTTAAAAATTCATGTAATTAATAAGGATCAATATACATTTGTTACATGTATAAATTTTAAGTAACAGTTAATATAATTCGGGTTTTTTTTCTATACTTTGTAAATCTAATTTTCAACTACAGGGGTTGGTGCTCAGAGCGCGCAGGGAGCATATATAGTTATAAAAGCTTAGAAATATCTATTGACACATACAGGATAGACAGCTCATTTAAAAAAGGGAGCCACTTGAAGAAATAACAAAGCTCACTAACAAAAAGTCAAAGGCACATCTCTCTGTCTATATAAACTTTACCACTTTTATTTGAAATTAGCAGCTTGTTCTCCATATTTCCTTAAAAGTAGACCAGTTATCATTTCCTAGCATAGAAAATTTATTCCCGAGTATTTACAAAAAATGCCATAGTCTTCCGAATTTTGTCAAATATACTTCAACATATTGTCATCCTAACAATTAATTTTATTATTTTTTAAGGCTGTAAAAAATATTAATCCAGACCTTATTTTTAAAAAATTACACTTATAACTCAATAAAAGGGGGGGTTGGTGCGCGGAGCGCGCTGGGGGGCGGAGCCCCACTAGTATATATATGTGAATGTATGTGTGTGATGTATATGTCTGAATGTATAATTCTTAACATCATATATTTTAAAGTGAAGTATGTAAACGTTTTTTTGTCTTGCATGTATAGTAAAACAAGAAAATTGCGTTCAAATGTATGACAAGCGTTGCCATTTTAAAAAGATATTGTTGATTCAGTTTGAAAAAGACGTTCAGTTTTTCGATGAACTATAATGACTACGAGTCATATTTGGAATTATTAACAACATTTTTTTTAGTTTATGTTTTAAAAAAAAGTTTAGAAATATTTAAATAAATATTTCTAAGCTCTATGACTGCTTTTGGATTATTTTAGATATAACAACTGCACCTGCGTCATAATTACTGCAAGGTTTCATGCATGATACATCAAGGAGTTGCATCCTATAAATTGTATGAGGAGGTAGGCAGAGCACATTGACACTCCTATTTTAAGCTTATTTGATGGCATTCAATTTTTTGACATGTGAGTAGCATCTCCACCTAACACCAGTAAAACTGAAATTCAGTAGTTTGGATGAATTCAGTACATATTTATAACAACTTAGTGAATATAGTTTAAGCCAGTCCCCCACTAGCGTTAAACTTTGCGTGTAAATTTGTTGGGATTGCAATGAGATAAGCATTTTTTTTAACTACACATTGAAAAATCAGCATTGAAGGCATATATTTTCCAGAAGCAGAGAATTATAAAAAAAATTTTGAATTGAAGTTCCCTTTTCTGCGGAGACTTTACAGCTTACTCACCTAGCTATTACCTTTTGATGCTCAAACTTTCAAGTACGTTTTTTGTAAAAAGGTTATTCTTGATCACAAAAAAATATCCACACTCATTCGTATTACATGTATTTTCAACTAAAAATTCATATTTTAAATGTAAATTATTCAAAGATTAAAAAAAGACGCAACATCATCTTTTTAAAAGCCAGTGGCTCTTGCAGTGGGTGTAAGTACAGGCTTTTTGGGAGCTAAATGAGGTTGCCCAGTTAGAAAACCTTTTTACAAGTCATAGAGACTCAACTCAATATCTTTATTAATATTATATTGAAGCTGAAAGGGTTTAGAAGAAGAGTAGGCAACAATACTTAGCTGTAAAACTGAAAAGCTGAGAATTACGGTCTCAAACTAAATCACACAAATAAGCCTTCTGCTTGGCATTCAACACTTGCCTGAAAGCCATACCTAGAGGAATGTACTTATATTTATTTTTATTGTACTATAACTGTTATGAACCTAAACTATATGTTATAATCAGAATCATCACCTTCATCAAGATTAGGATTATATTTGCTTGAAATCTTTGAATTATATTTTTTAGTTAAATTAGAGTTGTAGTCACTATTTTCTTGGTAACAATTAGTTGACGTAAAACCTATTGCAAAATGTCAAATAAAGTGGTAGCTTCCTTAATCGTTTTTTTCCAGCAGAACATAGTTAATCGCTTTTATCAAATTTTTTTTTGACCATTCTAGGCATCTCGGCTTTTCTTGTATTTTTCTATCGTTTTCACTGGATTTGCACTTATACACTTCACAAACTATAACTTCTTGAAGTACTTGTACTTTGCTAAAAAAACGAGTATGGTGCTGTCTTCACTCAAGGTGCATCATACGAGCCTATTTTTTCTGACTTAGCTTACCCATACTGTCTGAAACAAATTTTTTTTCAATTACTAGTGAAAAAAACTATACTGAATAGTATACGAAAGTAAAAAAGGATCTAAGTTCAATTCCCTATCACTACAAGTATTTTAAATCATTTTTAGTAAAGGGCTATTAATATTAACAGGGTTCTTAAATAATTTATAGAAAAAGGCAGTGGTATGATAAACAAACTGAGCNTACAATCTTCACGGTCAGTTTATCAACACTTAGCTTCGGTAAGAACATTGTGTTTAATGTTAGTAATTATAAGAAATAAAAAAAAATGGATTTTTTTGAATTCTAATGTTTTGCCACCAAAAATTTTATTTTGCAACTTAAACAACTACAAAATACTTATTTAATTTTGCATATTTATTTCTAACAATCGTCATTGCATTTGTCATAAATAAACATGAATTTTTTAGAAAGAAAGAATGCTCTAGCTTAGTCTGAAGCCATGATACAAAAAAATTGGAATTTTATGCAATAACTAGAATTATTAAAATAATCTTTCTGCGTATTGGGTTGGTAAGTTATAACAACCTCAATATATCACGATAGGTGATATACTAGAGAGATGCCCTTATTTTCTATGTTTATAGAAATCCTTAAATAATGGAACGCTCTTTGAGCTATCTGCAGAAAAATTTCTGATGATTGTTCAAAAATTTGTTTTTTAGATAAGTATTGGCTATGTCTTACAAAAACAGATTTATCTGCTTTTTAGCCTTTTTTACAGAACTTTCTATTTCCTTATTGTAAAGGTTTTACTGCAACAACTTCTTCATAGTTCTTCCACTGGAGATGATTCTGCTCCCTAGATCTTTGACATATTTCATACATATATACTATAAACAAAATTTTATGTATATTCGTTTTACAGGTTCTTACTTTACTGAGACATTTTATCAATAGATATCATACAGGTATAAGCATAGAAATCACCATGCAAATGTTCAGAGTCACATTCTTGTACAGCATCAAAAAATATTATTGTATAAATGGAATTTTAATAAATATACATTCATATCAATACAAATAATACATATAGAACAAGCTTAAAACATGATGCTTACAGTCTAATGGGCTTAGTTTTAATTCTTCGAAATAATCCTGCCATTATTTTTCAATCCAGTATAAGTAATAGTTGCTCGTGAAAACGTGAACTGTACGTCACACTTGACATGATTTTATTTTACGTATTACACATATAATTAAAGAAATAAGACAATTTCTTTCATTTTCTTTGCAATGAATAGTGTGAACCTAAGAAACTAAATGTACTTGTTAAACTTTGCACAATAACAAGTATAAGCAATAATATTCTAAATATGTATTTTAATCAAACGTCTAGCATTTCCATTCAAAAATGAAATGCACCATCAACGCTATATAAATCTTACACACAGACAAATTTCTAGTTTAGACTTTCTTTCTTACTCGTAGTTAATAATCAAAACAAGCTGTAAATTTTTACTTATTGTACATTACCTACTGATGAAAAAAGATGTTGCGAAAGAGTACTCTTATTTTTACAGATGTTCAAGATAATGCTGTTAAAGATATAATTGACTTCTTTTCCTACTAAAGGAACATTTATTCTAAATTAATTTTTTTATTTTCAGCCCAGATTGGATATGTACATTCGCCAGGTTATTAAAATATTCATGGCACTTAAAAATGGAACTGATGGTATTTAAGGATAACATTCAAACACCACATAATTATATCTTAAAAACAGATTGATTTACAGTTTAAATTTGTTTGATAGGTATGTATACACAAGTATTACAAAGTAGCTATGGTACTTAAATCTGATTTCAAAATTTCAGATAATGCTGATGAGTTTCAGTAAGTGCCAGAAAATTTTTTCATGTTAGCATTTGAAAGTATATTTCTTGAGATGATAGAGGACAAGCATACGTAAGGAAAAAATATTTCTGGGTTTCAGAAAAATATAATTTACTGTTAAAAACTACTAAAAGTCATTCACAGGATGTCGTCACTGCTAAAATAAATTAATAAGATGCCTAGTGTAAATTTTAGAACAATAAATAAGCTAAATTTTGTTTTTAATAATTTTTTAGAGATCATGTAACCTTACAGTATCAGGATATTGATCACATTTAAAAAATTTTTTTAACCGCAAGTTATGATAATAATAGTTATTATATGATTTTGCATTCTAATAATAAAAGAAAACTAAAAGGAGAATCATTGTTACGTGAAATAAAATTTTTCTCATTAAAATTGTTATCCTAACTGTTAATGACCCGTTCAAATTTCTTATTTATTACATTCATCATTATAAATTAACCATACGGTATCATAAAAGTAAAAATATTTGTTACAGTGAAACTCAGTAATATTTATAAAATATTATACCATTGTGGAACCCTGATATATCCATCAGGTTTATCATGAACATATGTGTTGTAGACTTTGTATTACTTTCAATGGTTATAACAATTTTTTCATCGTGTGATCAAAAACAAGCCAGATAGATCGATCAGGGTCTTACTGGCCAAAAAAATACACTATGTTAAAGATTCGAATGCATTCCACAACTATTTTTTATTTTACATAACAGACTGGCAAAGTTCAAGTAGAAGAGTTCTTATAAAAATCTTTAATCTTTTAATATCATGTATACTGTATTCAGATGATATGTTGTTTCATGGATTGTATGCAAGATTGAAAACACACAGTACATTTTTACTTAAGAAGTTGTAGCCAAACCCTAATGAGTACAAAAATTTTGAGTCACTGGGTGTAATATGTACTTTAGTATACAGTCCATTGCCTGAAGGATTGTTCAATCTTATGTTTTCCAGTAGATAAACAATTGATCGTTTCCCTACAAAATTTTCGCAGGAATACATAAAAAATACTTTCATCCCAATGAAAAGTCAACATTGTTTAGTTACTTTACAATTTATGAAAAAATGCAAATTCCTTATCTAGTTTTTTGCTTATACCTTCACTTCTACCACTCTTAAAAAAATGTTTTGACCACCAATCTCTTCGTCATCAAGTTTTTCATAAAATTAACACTATTGCAAATCTATTATTTATTCCTATTAACAAGTTAATAGCAAAAAAGTACAGAAAAAGTCAACTGCAATATAAACGTAAAAATTATTATAAAAAATATGGATATTAAGCTACGTAATGGAAAGCCATTAGTAAAATTTCAAAATAATTGTTAGATTTATGTTGACTAATTTTTTCAAGTAAGACTTTAAAGTGATCTTACAATCTTCACGGTCAGTTTATCAACACTTAGCTTCGGTAAGAACATCGTGTTTAATGTTAGTAATTATAAGAAATAAAAAAAAATGGATTTTTTTGAATTCTAATGTTTTGCCACCAAAAATTTTATTTTGCAACTTAAACAACTACAAAATACTTATTTAATTTTGCATATTTATTTCTAACAATCGTCATTGCATTTGTCATAAATAAACATGAATTTTTTAGAAAGAAAGAATGCTCTAGCTTAGTCTGAAGCCATGATACAAAAAAATTGGAATTTTATGCAATAACAGATTGATAATCAAATTTTTTACTGCGAAAAATTTTATGTTTTATCTTCATCTATTACTACATTACACGGTAATAGCACTTTATTAATTTTATTAAAAGGGATGATAAAAAAAAAATTTAAAAAGTCGCATTGTAACAACTAGGGCAGCTCAGTGCTCCCATCTGGACCAATGTCTTGCAACTAGGTGACCAACCAGTTGCAGTGCCCATGGGTCAAAACAAGGGCTACGGCAGGCGTTTGAATTTTAATGAGTTCTTAAACATAATTATACAGCTTCGAACATAGTATTAAACATTAAACATGCTTAATTACTAAATCTTTACCATATATTTCTTCATTGTATTACAGGAAAGAAAGTAACACACTGACAATGAAGATTAATTTTTTTCTATTGCAGTGGGTATTTGAAAAAAGAATCGGCGTTTTTTTTTTTTTTTTTTATAAACTTTGTCAAAAAATCTTTAAGAACATTAAATAGAGTCCTAAATAGTTTAACTTGCACAAAAATATGTTTAGTATCAGAGAGAGTGGACTGTATAATTTTGAGGATAAAGAAAAAAAATTTATGAACATTAGATTGAGGACTGGGATAAGGAGACGGAAATTTTGAGGCACACACAAAATGACACGCAGCACATCACACCTTGAATAAGAAAATAAATCAATTTATTTTAACACACGTTAATATCACTTAACTTCAGTAAAAAAATGGAATTGAACTTAAATAATTGCATAATTGAGTCACGTTAACAATAAGAAATCAACACGAAGAAATCAATACGAAATGCTCGTGCGCAATCACACGTGTCTACAAGTAAAAGAGAGTTCTAGAATAGGTTAGTGGTCTAGTAGCGCAGTACAAATAGCGACCTACTAGTACGAGCAAACTTAGGGGACTGAGGCTACAGTCACAGGCAGCCAGCGCTGAGCTGCTAATGTAGATATATATATTTATTCCTATAGGTAGTTACATAAGATTTCGCGCACGTACAATTGGGTATTGGTGACGACGTGGACAGCTCGCATACATCCACATAGACTCGAGCACACGCACAGCAATACAACACACTTATGCTTAGACTAAGGTTCATAATGGTGTACAAAGTCCCGAAGTTGATGGGCTGCAGTACGTACGGATGGCCATCAATAAAGAAAAATCGCAAGTGAAAGCAAAAAATTTATCAAAACAAACTTTATTTGCCATTTTATAAAAACATTCTGTTAATCAAACGTCACTGAAGCGTTTCAACAAACTAAGTAAGAAAAATAGTTAAACGCTTTTCCACTTGCAAAAAAATTAATATCAATAATCAAAGAAAAATCAAAGATTGAATTAATATCAATGACAAAGACAGGTAGTAAAGCCAAATAAAAAATGCCAGTTCAATACACAATTGTTTTATCAGTCACTGTTGGAGTGACTCTCAATCCTCTAAGCTGATTCAAGCTCTTCCACATCGTTCTGATTAAAATCAATTTATGTAGACGCCTCACTAGAACAGTACTACAAGTTTTGACCTTCACTATATGGACAAGAGATTAAGGATTCTTGTAAAGCTCGATAATCCAACCTAAAGGGCATTTGCCCGGAGACGTGAGCTTATTTTTGATCAGGATGACGTCTCCTACTCGGGGTGATCTTTGAAGTGAAGACCACTCTGCTCGAGTTTGTAATGAACTCAGGTACTCAGTAGACCACTTTTTCCAGAAGATCTGATGAGTCTGAGTTAGCAGCTTCTAGCACCGAAGTGGCAACAACTTTTCTGTCGAGATTTCAGGTTCAGGTACTGAGCACGGAGGTCGAAGGTTTAAAAAATGAGTGGGCGTCACAGGGGATCAAGACGGTAGGATCATCAGTTAAGGTTATTAACAGTCGTGTATTTAGCAGGGATTTAATGCGATACAACATGGTTGAGAACTCCACGAACGTCAAAACTTGGTCACCTATGACACGCTTTAAATGGTACTTAGCTGACTTCACGGCCGCTTCCCAAAGACCCCCTAAACGAGGTGCTGACGGAGTATCAAAATGCCACTAAGTACCGATGGCACTGAGCTGAATAAAAAAAGAAGAATTATCTGTAACAGACTGCAACATGCGTTTTAGCTCCAAATGAACACCAACGATGTTCGTACTTTGGTCACTATACAAGTATGTACAGTGACCACGACATGAGACAAACCGGTGAAAGGCGGCTATTAACGATTCAGCAGTATTATCTTTGACTATCTCCAGATGAACCACTTTAGTTGACATACAATTGAAGACGACTACCTAACACTTCAGTGTGCCTCTTCTACGACATTTAGATAAACGAGCTGGAAAAGGTCCAGCATAATCAATTCCTGATTTTTGAAAGCCCAGACCTGGGTGAACTCGAGACTTTGGTAAGTCACTCATCAATTGGTATTGGGTTTGGGCTTTATAATGCCTATATCTTAAGTAATGGTTAAGTTCATCTCAAACCACTCGCCTTCCGCCCAAGATCCAATACTTTCGCCGAAGCGACATTAGGGTCAATTGAACGCCACCATATAAAGTCAAGCGATGATGGAAATCAATCAATAAAAGGGCAATAAGATCCTTACCATACAGGATCAAGGGATGTTTGGTATCGTAATCTAAAAAAGTCTAACCTGCCACCAACTCTCAAAAGTTCCTTGGAAAACACTAGAGAACGATGGCACAACTGACTAGTTGGTGGCAGTGGCTTAAGATTTTCAAGAGGCAAACTAAGATTTTGGCGAAGAACTACTTATTTGGGTGAGAAACAATGTTGTTGGTGAGTGTAAATGCAGAAAAAATGAGCATTTTTCAGTTCTTTAGCAGTTAAATCTATGGTCAATTGACCGTGGTAGCATTTAAAATCGAAAAAAGGCAAGATTTTCTGCTCAGGACCTGGGGCTTTTGACTTAACAGCAAGATCGTTTGATCCTTTGCATTTTACTCGTTCAAGACACTGAAAGTCAAATCTAATACATTATGCAGTAATGCGATGTAAACGTCCCTATTTTGAAACTTTACTGAGTAAATAATCTACGACAAAAACTGACTTAGAGCTCACAGCATTAATCACAGTATTATATAACGTGGTGGATTCCATCGTATCAACCTCAAAATCAGGATAGATTTGATTCAGTTCATGCAGTATGTCTGGATTAACAA